TACTACCAGCACGATCCAGCTGATCTGAAGTACTAGACTTTGGCCCAGGAGTTGATGTAGTCTTCCTTGACTTCTCAAATGCGTTCGACCAGTTTGACCATAACATTCTGCTCTTCAAACTCCAGATCTTTGGTATTGGTGATCCTCACCTAGAGTGGATCAGAAGCTTTCTTCTACACCGGTGACTAGAAGACCCTGTGCGTGATTCGCTGTCAGATCCCATCCAAGTTGAATGCGGAGTACCACAAGGATCGATATTAGGGCCGCGATTATTTTTGACGTATATTAACGATATCACACGCATAAGTAGCACGAACTGCCTTCTGTCTGCCGATGATACCAAGGTATGGACGGCGATCAAAACACTAGACAATATTACAGTAATTCAAGCTTATCTGGATAGGGTATAGGCATGGTCAACCCAGAATCTACTTAGATTAAATATGGACAAATGTAGAGTGCTGCATCTACGGCACAAGTTAGTGCACTCATACCAACTCGGCAACCAGGAGCTTCAAACGTCTTCTGGCCAGAAGCAACTAAGAGTTTTTGTCCAGACCGACCTAGGATGTACGAAGCAGGCTGAAACAGCGTCTAGGAGGGGCATCCAACATGTCAGCCTGCTGAAGCGTACATTTGGACGATTCGACCCTTCGATTTTTCTACAACTTCTTGGCTCATACATACGGCCACATGTGGAATACGCAATGCAGATTTGGCAGCCATGGCTGAGGAGATTTCACTGCCTTGGAGATACCCCAACGCAGGGCAAGCAATAATGTCGATGGTCTGTATAATTTGCCGTATGAATGAAGGCTACAAGTGCTCAGAGTCTTCAGCGGACGGTATCGGCGATGGCGTGGGGACCTCATTTTCACGTATCGAAATTTGAGAGATCCCAACCACACGTGCCGCTTCTTACTAGATCTCATTCACAACAACAATTTTAGAGGTCAGCATCTCAAACTGGCAAAGTAACACAGTCGCTTGGAATGCCGTCGGAATTTCTTATCCGTACGTGTTTACCTTACCTAGAATGCCTTACCGGAATCTATCATATGTGCTCCCACGCTGGCAGAGTTCAAAGCCCGAGTTGACCACGCACTTATTTCGCTGCACTATCTTACATGACCCATTACCCATGGGTAAACACGAGTGTCTGTAAGCGATTTCACTGGGCACCCAGAGCACAGATTTCGTTTTACGTTTTTCAGCTCCTCTATGTCTACACCAGAAGGAGACACGATTTTTACCAACATCCTAGTTGCCATCATTTCTTATGGATTTACCTTAGATTTATAGTCTACACGACGTATACTTCAGTGAGTTCACTGGTGTAAACCCAATTTCGCCAACGATTTTTATATTTTGTAGGTTCACCATAACCATCCTACGGGACCTGTCAAGCATTAACTTCTTTTACCCTTATAAACCATTGTTCCATTGTTTCATTGATTGGTCCACCTATATATAGAGTTGCATTACAGCTGGGGGCGGTGTTAGAGAGGTCGTAAGGCGGATAGCAAGGTCTCATCTTGATTTCACCAGATTGTGACACGTATGGCGTCGTCAAAATGTCAGCCTCAAGCTCAAGAGGAAGGTTTACACTGCCTCCGTCTGTACGGTCCCGTTGTACTGCTGTGAGATCTGGCCTGCTCACTCGGAAGGCATGAAACGACTGTCCGGATTTCACAACCTTGGTGAAGCATCGTTCGGGTATGGCAGAAATATCACTTACATAAAATGAAGGTTGGCTGGGCGGTCATTTTGCTGCAATCGTTGCCTAAATGGTTTGCCGCAGAATAAGACTGAAGCTAGAGAGATGAGCAAATGGTGAATACTTAAATATCTGTGTATGTTTGTGAGGTCAGAAGTGTGGTGTATGTGTTATGTTAGCCAGAGAGTGGCGTGGCCATTTCCGATGAGGAGGACATTGTTGATGTAAATATGGGTTACAACAATTGATGATAAGTAGTGGGAAGATGCATTATAGGATAACCACCAGAGGTTTTACCTCTAGACAACAGATATGACCGCTGTCATGGTATGTGACTCACTCCTAACACCTTTGATTGCGCATTCTTCATAATGGTGACCACGTTTCTTCACTTCGCGACTCTTTAGTTGATTTATTAGTGAGTTTAGTCGGACAGTTCTTCGCCTCCAAAACTGCACCTCCGAATGTGGACCATCCGTTGCGCATTCCTCCCGTACCAACTGAAGGCGTCTTATTTCCTGTACAAGTTAAAACACATCTAGGATAAAACGGTAACAATTAGGTCAAGGGTGTTGTTAGGCTGGCACCTAATAAAGTAGTCATGGATGATGGAACTACTGGAAAGATATTGGGAGGTGCCACAGTGGCAACCTATCTTTTTCAAATATCTATGTGCGCAAAATTAGTGGGGGATCAAGTATGAGGTATGATGAACGCATC